CCATCTGTCAGCCTCAGCCTCCCAAAACCTGGGCCTTGCACTTGACAGGCAGGCGCTGTGCCAGTGAACTATATCCCTGGCCCAAAAATAACCTCTTTAAAGAAGAAATTTCAGTCATTTCCCACTGGAAGATAATGACCCAACAATTTATTTTAATACTTTCAGGATTTCAATACCGGACTTAAATCTTTAATTCATGTGAAATTCATTTTGGTATATGGTGTGGTATAAAGGTCTGTGTCTCAAATTAAACCAATTAACCATTCATTTGTTAAAATTTCTCCACTGATTTGAAATCTAACCATATAGTGAGTTCTTAAATATGCTTTGGTTTCTTCTGGACTACTACACTTAATAAATCTATTTCTTTTTGTTGTTCTTGTGTCAATGATATACTGTTTTAGTATGTTGTCTTCTAACAGAGGTGAATTTCTTTTTTGGGGTCAGTACTGGGGACTGAAGCCAGGGCCATTACACTGACCTAGATTCCCAGCCCTTTTCTATTTTGAGACATTACATTAAATCACAAAGTTACCTAAACTGGACTCGAATTTACAATTCTCCTGCCTCAGCCTTAAAATTGACTATCTTAAAATGGACATCTCTTCTCAGCATTGTGCTTTATAATTTCCTTGGTTCATTTTTCTTAGGTAATTAATTCCTCTATCTAATTCCTCTATTTAATCTTAATATTTAATCAGTTTCCTATACCAAGTAAAACTCTGAGATTCTAATTCAAATTGTGATAAACTTACAGCTTAAACTGAGATGACCACATGTGTTTATAACATACTACCTTCATGCAGATACATGGTATGAGCAGCTTTTTATGTTTTTTGAAATTCCTTCTTCCATTACGTTTGAGTTCTCATCTTATTAAGCTTTCTGTATGAAAAGAATATTAACTCTGGTTGTTAAATACCGTTGTTGCAAATTTTTTCCAATTTACTGTCAACAAATCTTAAAAAGATTACCACGGTATTAGTTGAGGCTGTATATAGTTATACAACTCTAAACTTAAATCAAGCATTTATTAGCAGGATTTTCAGCATGAGACATACAATTAAAACAACAACAACAAACCCCAAATGAAACCAAAGACTGTTAAGTCAAGCAAGGTGGTAAGTGCCTGTATAGTCCCTGCTGCTCTGGGACCTGAACCCAGTTCAAGGCCAGTTTGAAAAACGCAGCGAGACACTCTTCTAAAAAAACAAAAATAAGACTGTGAAAACAAATAGAATACATTGCTAAAACACTTCCCTTAGCCAAAATGTAACTACTCAAAAAAAAAAAAAAATGTAACTACTCAAACTGCATTTTGGACAGGACACAAAATAGACAATTTAGCAGTTAAAATTAAAAGATCATATAAACTTTATTCTTTAAAGAATAGAGTTATTTAAATAAATACATTAAATAAATGTATTAAATGTATTTCTTTTTACTATATATACAGTTGCACATTTCTTTCAATTCACCTTAGCTAACAGGGTTCAGGATTTTAAAGAAAAAATATTCAGGAACAAAAGCCATCATTTTGTAGGCTACGGATTACTGGTGAACTGTCAAGCTACTGCCTATTAATTCTTTTACATATTTTTCACTCAGCTTCCCTTCCCATACTCTCAGTAACCATTTCCAAGACCAACTGTTCCTTCTATATCGAACTACCGTTTCTACTGCTACCCTCAGATGATTTCACCTCCTAAATCAAGACAGTCATTCTTTGCAAATTATCTAGATAACTTAGATTTCCTTTTCATCTCAGAGACGGTATTCTTTCCCTATTTCCATCGTAAATCAAATATGTGCCTTAATTTGTATGTGGTGAAGGAGGAAAAGACCAAAAAGGGACAAAACTCATTAATTAATGTTTCTGCTCAGGGACTGTGCTCCATAACTTCTTTACTGCTGAACTGGCACATTTAATCTTCCACTGTGGTTTGATTTCTCCCATTCTGCCAAATATATATTCTAATGGCTTCCAGTCTTTTGTTTATTTGAGACATGATCTCAGGATAGTTCAGGATAGTTGTAAACTCACTATGTAACCCATGCAATTACAATCCTCCTGCCTCAGCCTCTGTAGTGCTGGAATTACAGGCATGTGCCACCACGCCCAGCCTGGTTTCCAGTCTTTAAGGAAAAAAAATAATTTCATACTTTGCTCTTTCTATTTAACCTATCCCTCTCATCTTTTCTTAAGAAGCAGTCAACGATCTTACTCTTTCACCTCAATTCATTCCATACTCTCCTCTCTCAATGCTTTATGTATGACTATGCCTCCAGCTGATGTTACTAACCAAAACTAACCAGCCATTGAACCACATCAATCAAGAAGAATGGGGAGACAAATATTACACTTTTGTCTAAAACTATGCCTAACTCTGGAAACCAGGACTGTAGAAAAGAGCTGATAATGAGTTTCTCCTTGGCTCTGAAGTGGAGTAAACTAGAAATTGTAAGTACTGTGCCTCCAAAAATCTTTAAAAGTTGGGCACGGAATTAGTATACTACTATGGGGATTCAAAGTGCTTAAAAAGGGTTTGGTTTGTTTTTGTGGTAGTGGAGATTGAACCTAGGATCTTCCTATATCCCAGGTCTTTTTTACTTTTGAAAAAGGGTCTTGTTAAATTGCCCACACTGGGCTTGAACTTGTGATCTTCTGCCTCAGACTTACGAGTAGCTGGTATTATAGGTGGGTACCATCATGCCCAGCCCCAATACATCTAATAAAATGTGCTGGTATAGTGCTTACATTCTCCTTGCATTAAGAAAGTAGTTCTAGGATTGATTTTCACTCTATCTACTATAGGAGATAATAAAAAAAATTAGTTGTATAATGTCTTTCATTAAAATAATCTACTATCGCTTACACACACACACCCTACAGCTGAGTGTGGTGATTCCAGCATTCAGGAGGTTGAGACAGGGGGATCGTTTGTGGCCACCCTGAGCTACATAAGTGAGTTCAAGGCCAGCCTGCACTAATAGTGAGATCTTACCTTAACAAATAAATAAAATAATCTACTACCTCAAGATACAAAATCTTTCTAAGCAAAAAACCCCCAAGATACTCAGGAACTAAGTAATAGGTTTGGAACTTTGACTACATTACTTGACATTATCACATATAGAACAGGGCTACACTCCACAGTTTAACTGTGAGGCTTACACAAGATAATATAAGTAAAAACACTTAAGACAGTTCTAGGCATATATCAAACACTCTTTGTTCATCTTAGCACAGTGCTGATATTAAGGAGTAAAAATGCACCAAAATGAAGAAATATTAAAATTTTGTGAACTGTGAGACAGAAAGTGTGACAAAAGTACCATCTGTTCATACTCACTTATAATCTTCAAAGGAAAAGATTCAAATAGAAGTGAAAGTTACTAGAAGACAGCCAAATATTTTGAGGGAATTCAAGCAGTAAAAGTACTTTGATAGATGAAATTCTCAGCGATTCCCTCTAAAAAGCCTATCAGATTACATACATTTTCATAAAATGAACAAGAGATAGCACACACAAAATTGTGGTTTCCCAGGTTAAAAAAGACAAATTTAATTTGTTTTAAATACACAAAGTTTCCATTCGATCCTAGGTACCAAAAAAAAAAGAAAAGAAAAAAAAAAAAAAAACCAAAAAACTTTCCTTAGCTACACAGAAAACTCTTATCAGTGGGATTTGGAATAGAGAGAAGTTTTTCTCTAAATTCAAGAATCATAATAAAAATATACATATTGAAAATGAATCTTCCTCAAATATGTAGAGGAAAAATATTGTAACTGTTAGAATTGGTGCAAAGCAGCTGGATTTAATAAAATGCAGTAATGCCAGCTGCTAATTCTGAAGATATTCAGAGGGGGAAGAAAGCAGACAATCTTCCTAACAAAACAAGTGCCATAAAAACCACATATATATTAGAATATACACATCTGTTAAATATCAGTTTACACCGTTTCAGCCAACTTGCAAATCAAGAGGAAATATTTTAAGATCTAAAAGATACAAATCCTCCTCTTGGTCACATTTTGCAAGGGTGGCTACTGGAGAGAAGGGTTATCCACGCAGATACAAGAAGGGCAAAATAATAAATCCAATATTCACATGCAAATGTAGAAGGGGAGAGAAACAGGGAGACTCCCAATTCAGTCCTTAAAGCTCTCCCCCCTCTCAAGAATACTGCAAAAATTGTCCCTCTCTAAGGTCACTTACCCTTGAAACTCCAAGGAGCGAGTAGAAGACTTTTGTTCAGATTTTTTGAGGGGCAGCGATTTAGGAATGCTGCAAGATTGCAACTTTCAAATACATGGACATGATTTAAATTTCGAGTTTTTTTTTCCAGGAAATGTCATCTTTTCCTTTTGAAAGAGTGGGTCAACATTCTCACATTAATGAAATCCCCAATTCGACACCAAGTGTGAACAACAACAAAAAAAGACCACAAAGCTTTAAAGATTTGCTAATAAAGCACACAGATCACTTCCAATAATCCCTAACTCCCTTCAGATTGAGAACAGAAAGGAGCAACGAAGGAAACAAAGATATATTAAAACTAAAACAGTAAAGAGGGCAACCAGATGAGAAAGTAGGAAGGGGTGGGGGGACGAGAAGAGCAAAAAGTCTAGCTGATGCTGACCCCTAATTGGGAGAAGAGGGCGGAAAATATCCCAAAGATACTGAAGGGACAGACCGGGTGGGACAGGAACGCAATAGAGGAAGTCCACGCAAAAGGCCTAGCCAAGGGGCCACTGCAGAAAGGAACACCAAAAAAGAGCAAGACTGATCAGGAAGACCATCAGGCCCCAAAGCCTGGGAGACAGAGGATGTGGCAATCTGGTGGTGCTGTACTGGTAACAAGGACGCCGCGCCAGACATCGCAAAGGCGAGCCTACTACAAGGGGTGAGGGGTTAAACGCGGGGTTCGCAGACGTGGAAGGGGGTGCGGCCCCTAGGGTTGCGGCAGAAGAGCGGCGAGCAGGCTACGGTCTATACCTTGTAGTAAACATCGAACTGGATGTTCTCGGGCAAGGAGCGGATGTCTCGGCGGGAGCGGATGTAGTTGTCCACGACAGCGGAGATGGCGGTGTTGTAGAGAGTCTCTGGGATCCACTCTAGCTCCACGGCCGCCATCTTCCTTCCCTCCTCCTCCGCCTCCTCCTCCTCCGCCTCCCGAAGGCCCCCTCCTCCCTCCGTAGCGAACTCCTCTGCGGCCCCGGAGGATTCGGAGGGGCGGCGGCAGCCACGCGGGTCCACGGCGGAGGGCACGACCGCCCTGGCTTTCCGGGGACGAGGCCGGGGGACGGTGGACGCAGGCCGGGGTCAACAGGGGGACAGGGAGTAGCAGGCAGAAGCGGCTAGCTGAGCCAAAGCCTCACATTCCGGGTTTGAGAGGAGCCCAAGTTCCGTCCCAGCACCAAGCTCTGCAGGGGCGGGGCTGCGTGTGTGGCGTCATGACGTCAACGCACGCCGACGCGTTGGAGGGAAGGAATGCGGCAGGCGGAAAATTTGGGAAGCAGCACCACGATTCCTCCCACTCGGGTCGTACTTTTCTGTACTGCGCCCGGGTCTTGGGTGAAGTTATTACAGGGTTTCGGCCCTCGATTCTGAGTTACTGGAGTTCTTCTGTACGTCCTGCGATGGGATTTCATAACGATTCTTGAGCTTCAGGTAAAACTTTGGATCCTCCCCCCGACAGAAGTGCACAGTTAACCACACGCTAAAAAGTGCAGTCAGGGGGTTAGTGTAACTCTGGGAATCCTTTTGTAGACTCGGTGGCCCGCAGTCCAGGAATTAGAGGCCACAATGGAAGGAAAACTTGCTTTTTCTTTGCACTGTTGCAATTTAGAGGCAAATTTTATTTGCCTAAAGAAGAAACATATTTGCTCTAAGAAGAAATTCGATAGACAGTTTAGCCTGATTACAAACACTAGGGGTAAAGTTACAAACAGTAAATGCGGCTGTATTAGGATTTAACGGTAGAAATGAAGATTTCAGTTTTCTCCCATGGCTACAGTCCCAGCTTCAAGGGTTTGTGGAATAGTTGGGAGTACAGTACTTGTTTCAGCTCTTGTCTTCATCAGTCTGAACTAATATGATTTAGGTGGCTAAATTTTCTAAGTGTGTTTTCAAGAACTTAGTGCAACATAGTTCTAGGAATCTGACAAGGAAATTACAGTCGTAATTGACCGTGACATGTCAATCTCGTAGTCACTCTATTGCAATGTAAGTCTCGAAGACAACAACAATAATATCCTGATGTTTAAATTGATGTTCCAATTTAGGGAATTGGAAGGAGTTCTTTCAGTTTGCCTTTTGCCTTGGTATTTCATTGTTAATTGGTTGAATAACTCTTTAAAAAAGGAAAAAGAAATACACCTTGTCTTCAGTTCTTACTGTGTAATCCATAAACCTAGAAAACTCGTGGTTGATCTAGACATGGGGTTGCTGAATTTAGCAAGAAAACATATTCAGCAAGAATACCTGATTATGTTTTCAGATAAACAATAACTTATTTGCTTATTTGTGGGGGTACTGGGGATCAAGCCTAGGGATGTTCTATTACTGAGTACATCCCCAGACCTTTTTATCTTTTACTTGAAGACAAGGTCTTACTAAATTGCCCAGAGTGATAGAAATACAGTAGTGCACCACCACCTGAGTGCACCTCTGGGTAGTACCATAAAAAGTAATCTGTATTTTTTTTTTTTAACTGGGGATTGGATTTACGACCCCACACTTGCCAGGCAAGCACTTGTGCCACTGAGCTAAATCCCCAGCCCTCCATAAAAAAACAATGGTTTACCTGAAATTTAGGGGGTTTTTGTTTTGTTTTTGGAGATAGGGTTTCATATCATGGACTGATCAGGCCCGCAATGTCCCAAACAAGTGGATGGTGAAGGCTTATATAAATGAGACAAGTGATATGATTTTAGGGCTCCAGCAGGATCAAACCCTCTAGCAGAACTTGAGATTCTCTGTGGACTTAGACAAGGAACTTATCTGGGCAGCTCATACTTATTTGATTTTCTTTCTTTTTTTTTTTTTTTTTTTTGTCTTCTTCTTTTTTATCAGTACCGGGGATCGAACTCACGACTGCCTGCTTGCAAGGCAGGCACTCATGCCGCTGAGCTAAATCTCCAGCCCCTAGATTGATTTTAACTACAGGAAGTAGATGCCTGCACCTACAGTGTTTAGTTAATTAGGGTGGGAGTCAGGCAGGTGAGCTTATCCTGTCCTTTGAGGCGTCATGCCATCAGAGGCCTCGACAGGTCTCAGCTGGAACCAGTGACCCATAGAGTTTCACGTGCTATGAGTCTGCTGCCCATCTCTAGACAGGGGGTCTAGGCTTTGGACAGACTCACAAGTAAACACACAAAACCAGTTGGTTAATTGTAAATCCTGCTCAGAGCTACTTCATAGTGGTTTCCATCAGTCTTACCATGTAATTCATGCCGGCCTTGGATTCCTTATCTTGCCCAGCTGGCCTTGAACTTATTGCCATCCTTCCTCAGTTTCCCAAGTGCTGAGGTTCTAGGCATGTGCCACTATGCTCAATGAGATTATTTTTAAAGGGACACCCATATTTGATCTGGCAACCATATTTCAGGAATCTGCGAATCCCCTAAATTTAAGTACGGATGTTTTCAGACACTTGTGCAGAATCAGGACCTTGATTCCAGTGCTTTAAACAGGTGAAATTGTGTCAGGCTATTGGGGACCTGGCCAAGATCTCCAATTTCCTATATTAAAGGTATGAACAAATTTAGTAATACATGATGAGTGACTGGAAAGTGTCATTGCCTCTGACCAAGAAAAGGACACACCAAGACAGCTGCAATTTATTCCACAATGCAGCTCTTTCTCAAGGTTCTGTGTTGTTAAACATGTGACTTCGTTTAAGAAAATGACACAATTCATGGGCTGTGCTGGACTTCTCCTAACTTTCTACCAGTGGCTCCATTACACTGTTTATAAGAATGAGCAGGGAGAGCTGCTCTACCCCTGTAATTTTTGCACTCTGGAAGGATGTAGCAGAAAGACTGCAACTCTGAGCCCAATCTGGGCCATTTAGCACTTTAGCAAGACCCTCAAAATTTTTAAAAATGGGGTAGAGATGGGAGATGTACCTCAATGTAAAGGCCCTGAATTCCACACATACACACCCACACACACAGAGACACACACACAACCCAGTAACAACAACAAAAACTAGCCAGATTATCAAACTGGAGACAATGATTTTTGTCCCATTATAAATACAAAGCCTTTTTCAGAGCCTTTCAAGCCTAAATCTGCAGACCGTATTTAACTCCCATCAACTACACACTGCAGCCATTTAGATAATATGTGTTCTCATAAATGAGGCCTTCAAGGAATACCTACCACACTGAATATCACATACGCAAAATGACTGGGTAATTTGATAATGACCCATAGAACTTGCTGCCACCAAAAGTCAAAGAAAATATTTGTCAACAAGTCCTGGTCACCTGGTGAAACAATGCAAATAGGAAATATGACCTAATTCTCATCTCTGATCATTTACATCTGCAAAAAGCTCAAAAGAGATTTCTCCCTCAAGTATATAGTTACTGTCTTAGACATCACATCCTGTTAAGATAGCTGCCTGCTAGGTGCTTTCTGTCAGGACCACTATTCTCTTCATTGACATATACACCACTCCCATTTTCCCCTAAGGAATGGTAGCCTATCTTTGGCCATCTTTATTTTGAGGAAGCCCACTTGGAATTTTCCCTGCCTGTTTGGAACATTCTACTTACCTAACAATATGAAGTAATTAGTATAAAAGGACAGAGTACTTTTAATTTGTGATGTCCTTGCTGATCCAGTGTGTGGAATAAAGGATTAAGAATTTGGGTTTTAGCCTGGCGTGGTGGCTCACACCTGTAATCCCAGCACTTGGGAGGCTGAGGCAAGACGATTGTTGCGAGTTCAAGACCAGCCTGGGCTACAAAGTGAGCTTAAAGCCTGAACTGCATAGACCAAAAAGACCAAAAAAAGAACTTGGGTTTTTTTGAAAGATAAACGTGTAATCAATAGTAACAATTCAATGCAAGAAACATGATAAGGCTTGCATAAAATATTGCATTTGATTACCAAGGAAAAGATAAAAGACTTGGTTTGCAGTTCCAATATAGGTCAGTTCCCAAAATATTTTTACTTGCAGTGAAGTTCACCAGAAACTAACACGGGAACACATTTATTTGAAGAATTACAAGTGGATTCATTTTCATTTTCACCTTTTCCTCATAACTAGTGAAATTTTAGGGAAAATTTGTTACTTACTGAAATATATATAACATTGAAAGTTGTGAATCAAATTTGTAGCGCTTTATTTCTGACAAGGAAGAATTACAATGGCCCTGAATCAAGGCTAGCAGTTTTCTAAAGCTGTTGGTTTCAAGCAGGACCTTACAGTGGTATCTTTCTGTGGTCTGTTGGCCACTTCAGAACTTTAGAAATGTAAGAGTTAATTCATTAGAAAGAAACAGCATGCCTAGTAGTAGCCATCCATCTCAGGCTGGGCTACAAAGCCACACCCCTGTGGTCCCACCCCCCCTTCTTACCCTCTGCCACTCCAGGAACTCAGATTAGAGGAGCCTAGGTGCTTATGCTAATCCTCTGCACTGTGCAGGACAGATGCAGGAAACACTCAGGACCCAGCAACCGGCTGATTCGGAGGTACACAGGAAAATGTCAAGACGAAGAAGCAAAGTACAATCTCAGACCTCCAGCCCACCCAGAACAAGTCCAGAAGACAGACACAAAAGCAATTAGAAGTCACACACCTGAAATCTCAGAAATGATGGCAACTGAAGTGAAAAGACAATTTAGTACTAATATGGTTTACTGTGCCATTTGATTGACTGTGTATCAGTGTGTGGTGGTCTGAGCATCTAGAGGATAACAATGTGCATTACAACAATTATGCTTGATTTCCTGGTCTTGTTTTTGAAATCCAATGTTGTTCCCATTGTTTTGTTTCATTTTATCTTACTTTCTTTAAAATAATAAAAGAGTTACAACATTTTCAAAACAATAGAAAATTGGAATGAGGTTATTCTAAGCAATGCAATATAGTATTTAATAATCATAACTGTTGCACCATCTAAATGGAATACCATTATCCTTATCCTCCAACCCCCTGCTAAACATTTTATTTAAATAATACAGGTTTTTAACTTAAAAGATGGTTAAACCTGGTGGCACAGGTTTGTAATCCCACCACTGTAGAAGCCTGCGGCTGGAGGATCATAATATCAAACCTATCCTGTGCAATTTAGCAACTCAGGCCCAAAATAAAAATATCTAGTGTCTCAAGATAAAAATTAAAGACTGGGGTGGTGGCTTAATCCACAGGCCCTGGGTTCAAACCCCAATTCTGAGAAGAAGAAAAAAACTGCTCCTGTCTTACTTCAAAGGAGATAAATCACACTGTTTTCTGCATCGCAAAGTATCTACCTCCTTTAAAGCCAAAAGTTTTAATCTGGATGCCTGCTGGCCCAATACTGGAGGAGGCTGATGATGGGTTTCACTCGGATGGGAATCTGCCAGGCTCAATATAGTGCCTGCCCAGCGTGGTGCTGAACTTCCCAAAAATAATATATCTCTCCTACATAAACTTCCATGTTCTTCTGGTCCCTCTGGCCTTTCACGGGCTCACCAAAGGTCCTCTAATCTTTTCCTGACACGGTAAGCTATCTACTCACATAGTCTCTACCCCATTCCAGTCCCGTTAAAAGCCACTCCCTGGCTTTCTCATTTAAGGGTTCTCGCAGCAATAAAGGCTTTTCTTATCTCTGTTTCTGAACTGTACCAAAAACCAACAACTGAGGCAGAGAATTACAAGTTTGAGCCAAGTCTATGCTTTTTTTTTTTTTTTTTTAAAGCCTACAGCACCCGGTATTCCCAGGCGGTCTCCCATCCAAGTACTAACCAGGCCCGACCCTGCTTAGCTTCCGAGATCAGACGAGATCGGGCGCGTTCAGGGTGGTATGGCCGTAGACCAAGTCTATGCTTTTTAGCACTTTAGCAAGACTATCTCAAAAAATAAGGTAGAAATGTAGTTCAGTGCAAAGGTGCTACTTCAGTCCCCACTTTTGTACACACACACTGAAAAGTTTTATAAACATATTTAGGGAAAAAAATTTTTTTTTGGTACCGGGGATCAAACTTGCAACCTCACACTTGCCAGGCAGGTGCTTATACCACTGAGTTAAATCCCCAGTCCCGGGAAAAACATTTTAATTTTTTTTTTTTCCGAGACAAGGCTGGCCCCAAACTCAGAACAGTCCTCTTATCTCAGCCTCCCATGTGCTGGGATTACAAGCATGTGTCACCATGACTGACTTTTTTTTTTTTGAGCCAGGGTCTTGCTATGCAGTTCAGATTGGCCTTGAGCTCACTTTGTAGCCCAGGCTGGTCTGGAACTCACAACAATCCTCCTGCCTCAGCCTTCCGAGTGCTGGGATTACAGGCATGAGCCACCACGCCCAGCTGACTGACTTTATTTTTTTGAGATAAAGTCTTCCTATGTAGTCCAGGCTAACCTTGAACTCACTATGTAGCCCAAGCTGGCCTCAAATTCACAATGAGTCTCCTGCCTCAGCCTCCTGAGTGCTGGGATTACAGGAGTGTGCCACCATGTTCAGCCTATATTTTCTTTTATAAAAAAATTATGGTATCTGTAATATAAATTTTACTTTTTTTCCTCCCCAGTGCTAGAGATCAAACCCAGGGCCTTATACATGCTCTGTCATTGAACTACCCTCCCCACTCCTATGTAAAACATTTTTAAATGTACAGTTTGTTGCTATTAAGTACGCAATGCTGTACAGCCATAAATATCCATTTCCGAAAGTTTTCACCCTCAAAAAAATCTGTGCCTACTAAGTAGTAACTCCCCTCTAGGAATGGCAAACGTGTGATCTACTTGGGAGGCTGGGACAGAACTGTCACGAGTAGGGACAGCCTAGGCTACCCAGTGAGTTTAAGGCGAGCCTGAACTACATAGAGAGACCCTGTCTCAAAACAAACAGTAATCCATTCTCCTATCCACGCCCAGGCCCTGGCTGCTTGGATTATGCCTGAACTAGGTAAATAATATTGTAGAATAAATATAATATTTGTCCTTTAGTGTCTGGCTTACTTTTATTTCAGGATTCATCCATATAGCATGTGACTTGCATTCCTTTTTAAGGCCTAATAATATTCCAGTATATGTACATACCACATTTTGTTTATCCCTTCATCTGTTGGTGAACATCTGGGCTGTTCTTACTTTTTAGCAAATGTGAATAACTTAACCTTAAGTGTATAATATCTCTGCATCCCTATGTTCAATTCTTTTGGGAATATACCCAGAATTAAAATTGCTGTACCATATGGTAATTCTATGTTTAACTTTTTGAGCAACTGCCAAACTATTTTCCATAGCATCTGCCCCATTTACATTCCCACAATGTAAGTTCCAGTTTCTCCATGTTCTGGCTGATGCTTGTTATTTTCCACTTTTAAAAATACAAAGGGATCTGGGTGTGTTGACACACGCTTGTAACACCAGCACTCAGGAGGCTGAGACAAGAGGATCACTTAGGGTCCCAGGTCAGTCTGGGCTACAAAGTGAGTTTAGAGGTAGCCGAACTACATAGTGAAATTCTGTCTCAAAAAGACAGAGGGTTGGGGGTTTAGCTCAGCAGCATAAGCACCTGTCTGACAAGTGCAAGGTTGTAGATTTAATCCCTGATACCCCCCCCAAAAAAAGACAAAACAGGGAAAAAAAAACTATATATGGAAAAAGAAGATCTGTATAGGTACAAATTCCCTATGATGAATGTGATCATGTATATTAAAAGTACCAGTTAGGGGCCAGGGATTTAGCTCAGCGGCATAAGCACCTACCTACCTGGCAAGCACAAAGTCGTGAGTTCGATCCCCAGTACAAAAAAAAAAAGTACCAATAAAATTAATTTTAAAAATAGAAATATAGTTGCTAGGCGTGGTGGCATACTCTTCTAGTCCTAGCACTCAGGAGGCTGAAGCAGGAGTATTGTTTCAAGTTTGAGGCCAGCCTGGGCTATATAATGAGTTCCAGGTCAGCCTAAATTTAATTAAATAGCAAGATTATGGCTCAACAAACATATATATATATATATATATGCTATCCCCTCACATTAATATAAAAATGTAGTAGCCATCCTGATGGGAATAAAGTGGTATTAAAATATTTTTATATCACAAAAATTCACGGTAGAGTGATGAGCTAGTCCAATAAGAAAATTATACTAAATATAAAAAATTTACAAGTCTCATATGTTGGAAAAATCTTTAGGTAAACATTTTAATGCTTTAAAACATGCAGATTCCTACTGAATTATAGTTGTTTCCTCCCATGCTCAAGTAAACATACATAGAATATTTCCACAGCTCGCTTATGTGGTGAGATGCTGGTTTTGAAGTGTGAACTGGTATTAATCTGCAGCCCTTCCTCCACCCATAGAGGCAAGAGCTCATGTGGTTCCATGGTCATTTGTTGAAAGTGAGAGAAAAAGAGAAACAAGGAGGCTTTTCTTTGTTTCTGCATTTTAAAAGTCAGCTCTGAAGGGAAGAAGAGCGAGCTCATATGCACAGACAACAGAGTAGATCTGGGACCCACTTGGTGCCCAGAGCTTCCCTGCTCTGTAGATGTGCTATTCTCCGTGGAAAGGAAAGGTAGGAATCTGATTATGGAGGAGGCGCCCTTCATGCTTGTCCTCAGCACTTCCACCTCCACGGACCTCAGAGTAAGGGTAGAGGGGAAAGTATTTACGGAAGCTGAAGATGTCAGTGCTACTTTGATAGGAAGAGCCCAGAAAGGCAGTGAGAAGCTGAAATGGAAGCAGCTGTCTGCTCCTCCCTGCTAATGAGCCTCAGGCATCACAGGTTCCCCACTACCCCCCACCCCAGGATCTGGGCGATGAGCAACCTCAGAGGGCCTGCAGTGGGTGTGTGGGAGTAGTGGAATGCCTCCCTTCACTATCTGGGGGCAACCAGCACCTCTGAATTGCCTTGAGCAACTGTGCTGGTTAATCTTGACTGTCAGCTTGTAAGAGACTCTTGGAGGGGTGACTGGATTGTGAGGGCACCAGCCTCCCCAGTGGGTTAACCCCTGATGAGTTCAGAGCTGAATGGCCATCAGAAGGCAGGCCTCGCTGCAGGAATGGGACCTGTGTGTGGCTTTTGCAACCACATCAGTTGCCTGGCCGTTTCCTCTCTGGCTCTTTCCCTCTGCTTCCTAGCTGCCATGAAGTGAGCCATTGTCTTCCACTGCGCACTTCCACCCTGATGTTTGTGCCTTGCAGCCAGCCAGCCAGCCATGGCCTGAAACTATGCACCAAACAAACTTCTCCTCCTTTAAGCTGTGGGTGTCAGGTATTTTGTCCTATCAATGGAAAGGTGACTAATACAAGCAACCCAAGAGTTGCTCAGAACACAGAATGTTTTCTATGTATCCAAGCACATTGTTTATGCTTTACTAATCTAGGTCTTTGGCCATTTGGATTTTATTGTAGTACAGTATGAGAGAGATGGGCCTAGATTCAGTCTTCTGCATGTGGATAACCAGCACCATTGTTAAGCAGGCTATTTTTTTCTTCCGCTTGTTTTTGGCCCCTGTCAAGACCAGATGGAGGAGTGTGCTCTCATCCTCTGTTGTCTTAGCCTCCTCTATTCCGTTCCATTCATCTACCTGTGTGGTTTTTATTCCAGTATCACATTATTTTTATTACTATAGCTTTGTAATATAACTTGAAGGCCAGGATTACAATGCTGCTTGCTTTGCTCTTGTTGCCCAGGATTCCTTTTGTTATTCTGGATCTCTTCTGATTCTGAATAAATTTAGGATAATTTTTTCTAGTTCTGTGAAGAATGCTATTCATATTTTGATTGAGATTACATTAAATTTATATATTCATTTTGGTAATAAATGGTCATTTTGACAGTGTTGCTTCTGCCTATGCAGGAACAGGTGATGTCTTTTCATTTTCTGCTGTTCTCTTTGATCTGCTTT